TTGTAACAGCTTTCAGTTTCATGGGGAAAAAAAAAAGTACTGTTATGGCTTCCAAGTTTCTTCTGCTGACTCGTGATAGCCTCAAAACAAACTAACCAGCAGCATTTACACTTCACATTTTCACTGTTTTGCCTGTGGCAGATAGAAGAGAGCAAAAGAGCAGGCAGCTCTAATGTCTGCTTGAAGACAGTGGAGATAAGAAATCTGCAGTGATAGCCCTTTTTCGATACCATGATACAGAGGCATACTATAAACCATACAGAAGTGTAAACCTCGATGTAAACATGGATCTATCCTCTTCTTGAGGCATCTTTGTCCTTCATTTCTTCTCATTCCTCTCCACAGGAGAGAACATACCACCTTTCTGAATTTTGATAAATAAATATTTGCACTCTCTTTGTCCATCTCAATAGTAATAAGTTGCTCACCTTCATCTTTTATTTTTTTCCTTTTTCCTCTACAACAGTTGTTGTACAGAAATAAATTATAATTAGAATGAAATCTAAATTAAGTCTGAAGATTTCTTTTTTTTAAATGGGGAAAGTGCATTCATATTACTAAATAATTTGTTAAATAATTTGTTGCTTATTCTTCTCTTTGCCACTTATTATATGTCTGCCTAACTTGAAAAAATTTACTTTCTGATACTGTTACTTTCTGCCACCCAGTTTACATAAGACTTTATAAACTAAAATTGAAGTGTTAAGCAACAGCCACGAACTTCTCAATTTTGGCTTCTTCAGGCAATTTTTTTTCCTCTGCTACTTTTATTTCTTTCCATAACAATTCCTAAACTTGACTGTTTATGAAATTTGTTTTCCTTTCAACATAGGCTTCTTTTCTACCATGTGTAGTGATAATAATTTTTGAGGAGTTATGGACTGTAATAATCCTGAAAGCAAGAAGTTATGTGTTATAACTACATTTTGTTGATAAATATTGAGTAGTACTTGAAGACATCAAAGGTGCAAGGTATTAACTTAGGGCAAATAAAATTATGCTACAGATCTCTGAGATCATCTGTTGTCTTTCTACTCATTTACATATTGTAACATGAACCCATGTATATTTATGTCAAGATTTATTTGGAAAATATAATGATCTTGATTATCACATCAAACAAAAAATCAGTTTTGCAGAACTGGATAGAAAGGGTAATTTGAGATGCATATTTTTCATATGCAAATAAAGAAAGAAGATTGAGAGAAGATTTAAAAATATGCTCATTCCTAAGACATACGTTGTTACAGAGAAAGCTAATTGTCACTGCCATAACCATTACTGATATTTTTGTCTCTGATGATCCTCAGGAGAGTTTGTGTTGACAGTGCATTTAAGCAGCAACACGGGAGACTACAGCAAAATAAATACGTGTGAAAGAATAATAAGAAATTAAGATAATGAAGATAAATAGCAGAACATCTTCAATGTTAAATTCATTTCAAAATACTTCAAATGACTCCATGTTGGAAATAGAATGGAATGGACTATATCTATATCTATATCTATATCTATATCTATATCTATATCTATCCATATCATCTATATCTATATCTGTATCTATCAGTCAAAATTAAATTGCATCACATTCTTATAACTGTATCTCACCTTATATTTATTTTACATAAATATATGCAATCTTATCTGGAGTTTCTCTGTTTTGTAAATTGAAAATAATATTTGGTAGTTATATAAATTTGTTACAGTGAGAATTGTTTGATTGTTAAATTCTACACAACTAGTATTTTGCTCATATCAGATGCATATTAGAAGTTTTGATTTTTGCAATTATTGTTATTTATTTTTAATATGGAAATAAATCTATTTTTTCACAAACTCTAATGCTACAAACTTAAATCATAGCTTAATGAAAATTCATCAAATGCTAAGTTAAAATAAAACATTCAAGGGAATTAGAAATTGACACGTATGGAATAAGTGGTACTTTGTACTTCAGTGGTCTTGTTAATAGAAAGTGGGCAATTGGGTAAAGAAATATGTTGCCTGGAAATCATACTCTATTTCAAAATTTACTGTGCTTGAAAATTCTGCTTAAAATCTGGTAGAAACATGAAATCAGGGGAACCTTAAAGCATCCATCACAGTTTGATCTACCGAACGTCTTTGTGAGCAGTTTGGAATGCCAGATAAAATAAATTAACCTATTTTCTTAGGATCTATGTATAGTTAGGCAGGATAAGGGAATGATGGTGGATAGATTTTTTTTTTTTTTACAAAATCACTTTTTAATGTACAAAGATCAGTGTCCCCACTACTTGCTCATCACTGCCCCACTGCAAAAGGTCATTGATTCTGGATTACCAAAAGAATTGTTCAAATGAACAATCAAAATGAGTTTGGCAAGCCAGCACTATTTACAATCACAGTCTGGATTTTTTGCTACCTATCTACATGTATCTTCTTTTTTATACAAGGGACCAGTCTGCAGTAGAAGAACAGATTTCTAGATCTAGAAAGAATTTGTAGGAATAAACAACTGTGAATAGCTGTATTTGGATTCTTATTATGAAAAACACTGTTTTTAAAGTCATTTTTATATTCTCTGAATGATTCTTTAGGTTGCAGAGATGACTGAGAGAAATATTTAACAGTTATTCAGATATGAACTACATTATTACCTGTCTTAGTAAATAGCTTTTATCTCAACCCATGAGTTCTATACTGTTTCCAATTCTCTCCCTCATTCTGTTTGGCAGTGTGAGAGGTTGTGCGGTGGTTAGCTGGATGCAAGGTTAATCCACAGCATTACCACAGTTTCAAATAAAATTATATTAAAATAATATTCCAGGTACAATTTCTAATGAATATAAAATGCATTTTATATATTTGTGGTTTCTGATATAATTCCACACTTACATTACATTTTTATTTAAATACAGATTTTGGTTTTCTTTTCTAAATAATACAAAAAGTAGTAAAAATCTCATTTCACTTCCTGCCCTGATTTTTTTTTTCTTTCATTTCCTGGTTCAGAATTGTGTAATATTTTGTTCCAGAAATGGTTGCTTATTTTGAAAAGTGGAAAATTTCTAGTGTCTCTGGACAAATCACATTCTTGAGAATTCAAGACCAAGACTCCTGATAGTTAAGTCCCTCCACATGCAGTTTTCAAGGCAGACTGCTATGCAGATATTACCTGTAGGCCAGAATTCAGTTTAATTTGTATAACAAGTCATAGAAATTTATATCAATAACTGCATTTGAACATATATATATAAGTTCAAGTAAGATTAAGAAAGGATAAGGATGTAAGCTTAACTGAGGCCACAACGTCAACAACACTATCCCCAGGCCTCATGTTTTCTAGTGCACAGAAATTGTGCTGTATGACACAAGGCAAGATCATCTGACCAAAAGTAATACACTCCATTTTGCACTTGAGACACGCATAAATCTACTTTGATTTCTTTTTCTTTGCCCTGGAAACAAGATCAGGTTTCATACTCAAACGCTTTTAATTAACTCTGTTTGTTAATTACATAATACTCCACATTCTGTACTAAGATGCAGTCTTTAAATTTACTTTTTCTGTATTCTCCTTAGAGCTGGCTAATTGCCACTGAGGATTTTTGTGAGTGCTATATGCATATTGTATTACGTTCTTCAAACACGTTGTATTTAATCCTTAAGAATTGTCATAGAGATTTATTACAGTGGTAGACTGAATACAGTAGGTATTAAAATTGCTCAGATAGTCATATCATCCATTCTTTCCTCTAAAAGAACAAGAGAATAATCAGCTCACATGTGTTAATAGTGTTACATTACAGTGTAAAATCAGTGGAAAAAATCAAAGTGAAGGAATTTTAACAAAATTCTCCGCGATCAGCCTTTATACAGGTGGAGTAGTGGAAAGATGAAGTGGTTCAGCTATGAAACATGGAGATAAACACAGACTGAGATAGAGAAATGAGGAAAAAAAATGGCAAAAAATAACTTTTCTGGCTTTACTGACAATCTAGACTAAAGCATTTACTGATACTGAACAATATATTTTCAGGTGGGTGACATATTACAATCTATTCAGAGAAAATAAAAAAAGCTGGATTCTTTCTATCCATATCCAAAACATTCAGGCTGCTGAGCTGTGGTCAAACGGGACTGTAAACATATATCTGAGGGACATGTACTGCAGATGATTTTAAAGAGCAAGTGTATACCCCTGTAAATGAAATTATAGGAGTAGAATTCAAGAAAAGAGCATTGTATCAGAATTTCTAAAATATGAGACAGTCTCAAGGCCTTGCTTTGGCTGATGTTTTGAAGCACTTTTTCACAATGGTATTGTACAGCAAGTTATCAGTAACTCTAAGCTCATAAGCATACTGTTTTGAACTCTTATGTAGAAGTGTAGTAAGAAAAAAACTGTAAAATTCCACTCAATGCTTTGAAAATTTACCTCCTAGTGTTCTTGAGAATTATTTCACCCGTGTGGAGAGGACTAGAAGGAAGGTAGTAATTAACTGAAGCAAGATCTTTCAAAAGAAATATGTTAGAAACACAAGTTGCTTAGAGCAAAACACTTATAGGTGATCTGAGGAAGTTCAAAAGCTGTAATCCTTAAAATCTATTTCTTGTTACAAGATACTAATGCAAGAGTGCATCATCAACAGTCAATAAATGGGAAAACAAGATTTATTCTCCAAATAGAAACTTGAGGATTTTACACTCCCTTTCATCTTTAAAGTTTTCAATAAGGAGACAACTATCACTTTCTTGATAGGCCATTGAAAGAAGTGTTATCTTTTGTTTTAAGTTTTAATTTTGAACATTACTACATCATCTTCTATCATAGAAATATTTTTTTGTGTATTACTGAGTCACAAATTCGTAATTTTTTCAACAGTGAAACAGAAGATAACCACTGCTGACCCCAATTACAGTCAAGATTGTACAGACTTATTCATATATGCTGAATGATTTGGTCTGTAATAACAATACATATATTTATAGAATTCTTCTTTTCTACCTCCCTGAAGCTACACACTGACCAAGATAAAGGAGATGGAAATTTAAAATACATATTAACAGGAGATGGTGCTGGCAGTCTGTTCATTATAGATGAAAATACAGGAGATATTCATGCTGCAAAGAAATTGGACAGAGAAGAAAAGTCCCTGTATGTGCTACGTGCCAAGGCTATAGACAGAAAGTCTGGAAGACAAGTGGAGCCAGAGTCTGAATTTATCATTAAAATCCACGATATCAATGACAATGAACCAAAATTCACCAAGGATCTGTACACCGCCAGTATCCCGGAGATGTCTGGAGTTGGTAGGTAAAAATTATCCTTATGTAGATTCCAAACATTTTTGGGCTGATTTGGAATTGCAAATAATTTCTTATCTGAGATACTTAGTTTCTGTAAACATCCAAGGAAAAAATTCTGTTGTCAGTAGGATAACATAAATGATTGATTCATGTTTTTATTTATTTGTTTAATCTTTATCCACATTTAAATCCTTTTTCTACATTATAAGCTGCTCTTTTGCTCTTTTAAGCCCACTGGACCTGCAAGGAATGTAAGATATACAATTGTCTTATCAGTTTTGTCACACCTGAGAGTGTTGTTTCTATAACATACATTTTCATTATATTTACAATGTGTAATCTTCCAAACCTTTCTGTAGCTTTAGACAGGAGCCACTTTTAGGAAGTAAGTATTCAAATCAATTTATGTATCAAAATGATGCAAAATATCTTGCTAAAATACTGAAAGATTTCGTTTTGGATTGTTGCTTTTATATCTTTGTTATCAACATTAATATGATTATCATTATTTTATTATTTTTTTTTTTTAGGATACCAAACATGTGAACATCTTTCCCAAATAAATAAGATATTTAGTTAGATAAATTTAATTTTTTTAAAAAATAATTAGCTTAAAGCAATTCACAGCTGCGCTGAAAAATGTGGAATTCCATTAGTAGTTGGGTAAGAAATATAGTCTCAAAGTATAATAAATCTTTGAGCTTCGTAGAAATAATAGCATCATAGATAGTATTCACAATCATACACTCATTAGAGTTAATAATGATCATCTGTGCATTTTAATCATTTACAGTAGAGACAATCTCTCTGATGATTAAGTCTGAAATACCTGGGACAATGGGGAACAAATAACAAGGAATATATCAAGAGTTATTTACTTATCATGAATTAATATAATGGTTTCCAAAATAGGCCCTGCATGATGTTATTTCTCAGACAGAAAAAAAAGCACCTATGAATATTTGCAACCAATGTGTCTTTGCAAAAATAATTTCCTGAAGTTAATAATGATCACCAAGTGTAATTGGCCTTCTGTGATGGATGGCATGAGTGGACGAAGGAAAGGCAACTGATGTCATCTACCTGGTCTTGTGCAAGGCTTTTTGACATGGTCCTGTGTCACATCCCTAACTCTAAATTGGAGACATAGGAATTTGAAGTGTGAATTATTCCTTATTCGGTGAATAAAGAATTGGTTGGAAGGACACTGTCAAAGGGTTGTGGTCAGTGGATCTACTTCCAGTGGAGGCCAGCAGTAATGAGCAGAGTCTTCCAGAAGTCCATTCTTATTAGGACCAATGCACTTTAACATTTTTATCAGGGACATAGATGATGGAGTTGAGTGTATCCTCAGCAAGTTCATTGATGGCACCAAGATGGGTAATGCAGATGATAGAATGAAGGAATGTTATCCAGAATGACCTTGATAAACTTGAAAGGTAGGCCCTTGTGAACATAATGAGGTTCAACAAACCTAACTGCAAGATTTTGCCCTTGGGTCAAGGTAATCCCAGATATGTGTACAAGCTGGGAGAACTCACTGGGAGCATCTCTGTGAAGAAAGACCTGGGTGTCCTGGTGGATGAAAACTGTAATATGAGCCAACAGTGTCCACATGCATCTTGGAAGGCCAATGATATTCTAGGCTTCAAAAGAAGGGTGGCCAGCAGGGCAAGGGAGGTGACTGTCCTCCTATTCTTTGCCCTAGCAGGGCAGAGTACTGTATGTTCAAGTCTGGGCCCCCAGCACAAAAAATATGTGGAGCTTTTGGAAATGATCCAGAAGAAGACCACAGGGATAATCTGACAGCTGGAGTACCTCTTCTATGAAGGTAGTTTGAGGGAGCTGGGCTTATTCAGTCAGGAGAAGAGAAGGCTGTGGGGAGAACTCATTATGGCTTTCCAGTACTTATAGGGAGATTATAAACAGGAGAAAAATCAACTTTTTACACAGACAAATAGTGATAGGACAAAGGGAATGGTTTTAAACTGGAGGATGGGAGATTTAGATTATATATCAGGGGGGATATCTAATCAGAGAGGGCAGTGAGGTGCTGAAATAGGCCACCCAGAGAGGTTGTGGATGCCCATCCTTGGAGGTGTTCAAGACCAGAGCCCTGGGCAATCGGATCTAGTATTTGATCTAGAGGTTGGCAGCCCTGCCTTCAGCAAAAGTTTGGAACTTGATAATTCTTGAGGTCCCTTCCAACCCAAACCATGTTATGATCGTATGATAATGTAACCTGACACTTTTATAATAATGACAGTGGAATTCCTACAGTACTATGTGTAATGTGAAGAGTCCTAAAATAGTTATTTCAAGGATGCATGCAAACAGAAAAATCTTTTCCAATTCAGAATTTTCTTTCCTGATGACTTGTGAAGTAAAATTGTTGTCAGTGCACATGTCATATTTAACTTGAAATATTCTTTTCAGTAAGGTATTATGTTGGAATAGATAAAGTAAACAACATTATGTCCATGTTAAATCTTAATGCTTAGTCCAATCTCCTAAGAATCAGTGGAAAAGCATAAGAATAATAGAAAGATATAGGACTTAGTGCCTTAGAATTGTCTGTGAAATTTTAAGCCTATGAAATGTCTATAAACGATAAGGAAGAAGATAAAAGATAATTATGTATTTCAGTAGAAAAATTGTCAATAAAAAAATGCAGTAAAGAGTTTTACTGTGAAGACAGCACTACAGAAAATGGTTTTAAGTGGTAAGTAGCTTTCAGTGTGGAGGCAAAAAAGGAATATGAGTTGTTTTTTGTTCTGCTTTGATGTTATTTGCATTTGGAACTATAAATTTACACGAGAATGTCAATTTTTAGCATTTGAATTTGAGTGAGTAAAAGTAATTTTGTAACTTATCAAAGCAGCAGAGAAGAAGGCCCTAAATCCAGATCAGTGAATTCAAGGAGCAGAAATTTTGTATTTCTGCAGTCAGTCATAAAAATGTTAATTAAGCAGCATGGTGTACATTGAGGTTGGTAAGAAATATGAAAAGGTACTCTTCCTTGGAGTCTCTTTGCCCTGTTCCTCCAGATGAGGAAGCAGATGCCATGACTGAAGTAAATGACCTGGGAGGAGGAAGGTGAAATCATTCTCCTAAGGGGAATGCAATTTACAAGTGAGCAAATTGTACTCAAACGCTTCCATAAGACACACAACAAAAAACATACATAAAATACAGAATGAAAATGATGTAGTTCTTGAACTAACTGGATAAAAGAAACAAAGATTAGTATAAGCCAGCAAAATGCACTAAACAGTGCATACAGTGAAATGCAGAGGAAAGAAAGAAAAGAAAGTAACAAAAATTAGACTCAAAACCAATGCAGGTTAGCAATGGGCTATGGAAGTATCTCTTGGGTCAAAAGTTCCACAGTAGGAGAATATACTTTTAAAAAAATATCCAATGCATTATGATATCTAAGCAGTTATAATTCTTAATGCTATAGAAAAGGTTTAATGAACAACTGCTTACTTTTCTCTTGTATGGATATGCAGTCCAAATTATATTTTCCATAGTGCGTGTTGCACACACAAATTTTCAGAATTTTCAATTGTGAGTTATGCAATCAAGTTACTTACACCTCAACACTTAATCTCTTGAGTGTTTTTGTCACACACTGCTGTTAGTAAATGAGATAGGTGTCTAGTAGCTAAATTTGGTATGGAAACATGTTCTGGACTGCAGAATTTAAAATGAATCTTAATGTCATAGATTTATGTAAAATAAATGGTGACAGAAGAGCAACCAGCCCTGAGGAATTACAGAGTGAATAATGCTTGGTAGGGTTGCTGTTGTTAGGAAAATTAGTATATCTGAAAAAAAAGATCAGAAAACAGTGAAAATTGAATGGAAAAAGAAAAGACTGAGATGACAGAAGTGCATTCAAGAAGATTAAAAGGTTTTAGAACCTTTTTTTTTTGTCCAACCTATGGCTTCCTGGACAACTAGTAATGTGGCCTCACAATTTTTAATATTATGATGTGACTTTTAGTGATATTTTTCATTTTTCATGAATTTATTGTGCATAATTTGAATGTGGGCTCATTAGGCAACAATGGTATGCTACAGACGGTTGGGAGCAGAGAAGTACTAACTGCCTCTCACACCCTCCACACACACTCAGTTGAACTGAAACTCACATGTATTACATGTTACTACTCTTGTGCCACTGAGTGAATAAAACAGTGATTACTAAGTTTCAACCCACTTACACCTGTGAATGACATGACACCTCTGAAGACATGTGGGTTTTGTTATTAAGCAGACATATTAGCTTTCTTGTTTAAGTTGGCTGGTGTTATTTCATAAAATAATGCATTCATTAGTTTCACAAAAACAGAATCCCACTTAAGTTTCTGTTGTTACATTTTTGATGTTTTAATAAAAATATTTTAAAATAAAGGAGGTTTTGTTATTTGTATAGGTTTAATATATTATATATTTTATATGCGGCCCAAGAAAATTCCTCTTCACTCAGTGCACCCCAGGCAAGCCAAAAGGTTGGACACCCATGCTTTTGAAGAAAGAATTAAGTGCCTCTTTAAGACCCTCTATAACAAATGAAGAGAATAAGAACTGTAAAACAAAATCCAGAATCTCAAGCAGAGAACGTAGAATAACAAAGTCAGTGTAGTACTGTGTTACACGCTATAAATACTCAGGATGATGACTGTTATTTTTTATAACTACGTATAAACAGATCCTTGCATGCTTAATCAAATTGTTTTTCTGACTGGAAAGAACTACAGAAATACACTATACCTCTTAAGAGACAAATGCACTCACAATGATGAGGTAAAAAATTTCAGGGGCATTTTCATTTTCTTACTACTGTTGACTTCTTTCTAAGAATTTTGTGTCTTATCTCTAAAGATTTTTAAAATATAAATATTAAATCTATAGTATTTTTGTAAAGTTAACCACAATAACTGCAGATATTCCTGAACACTCAGAAAAATGTCTTTGTGATTGAGAAGTTGAACTTA